AATTTCATTAAGTAAGAAATGAAAAGTCCGCATATTTCAAAACTGTTGTTGTCCAAGCCTACATAATAAAGTTCGTCTTTCTTGCATATAGACATCGTTATACAGCATATATTTTAAACGTCTCTGAAACCTTCTGTGCAAATACAGAAACAGGCGTATTGTATTTATAAGTAATTTGTACATGAATTATATCTTATGGGCTAAATGGTCATGTCAGAGACCTCAAGGGCTGTAGTCTAACTGTCGCTAATTATAAGCCACTCATCAGAGTTTGCACCCACCGCGTTAAGGACTTTGTCCGGATTTCAAACGTATCACAGGAATGACTCACATTTTAGAAAACATCCACACTATATTGTATGGAGTGTGTTCAGTAATATTACGTCGAAAAGTTTGGACCTTCCTGGGACACGCCCGACCTATACTAATAATAGATTATCTACTTTTTTGTATGCAATTATTTCATCAAAGTTACTGGTTATAATGTATAAAATAATTTCGAATATACATATCTGTATATTAATTATTATTTTTTAAACTTATGAAATGATTTTGCTTTGTCGACTTAATATACATGTGTACTTAGGACTATCCTAGATTTTCTAAGCTGACCAAACTAGCAACAGCACCCAATTAATGAATCACTGCACTCAGCTCACTTTTGGTTTTTATTTTTCTTCTTTAAGCACTTCTACCCATTTTATTGTTTTTGGGTCTATTGATCTATAAGTTAATTTCTGGTTTTAATATAAATTTTTATCTTATTTTTAATAAAAAGTTATTAATAAAGAGAAGGAAATTTCCCTCTTAAACCTAACCAAACTACTTAAAAACATAAACTTACTTTTATACCAACGCCATATTTCTCTTTAAGATTTTACTTCTTTTAAGTGGCCAAGTTATCTGAAATTGTGGAGTGAATAGATGCTGGGGAGTAGTACGTAGCTTTCACTGGCTGGTCGAGGATCATAGGTCGGGTGTAAAATGGTGTCAAAAAATCTGCGGTACAAGTAGAAGTAGAAAGAGCTACAGGGGTGGATGGAAGAATTGTGCTGAGGTGAGGAACGCTTAGTCCGAAGTTTGCGTGCAGCAGCGGTCTAGAAGCCATTCGAAGCTTCTCCAGCTCGGCTTCCTTCAGTCGTTTTTCCTTCGCTCTTCTGTTTTGGAACCAGATCTTAACTTGCGTCTCCGTTAGGCTTAAGGAGCTGGAGAACTCGGCTCGCTCAGCAATGGATAGGTACTGTTTTGTTCGGAACTTCCTCTCTAGTGTCAGCAGCTGCTGTGTGGTGAAGGGAGTCCGGGGCTTTCGGTTGCTTTTGTGCCGTCTCAGTTGACATTTCACATTAGCAAGTTTGGGTATCTCGCCTAGCTCTAGAAATCATTTAAAAAAACAAACACATACAAAATAGGTATGTAGATCAAAATAGTCTTTGTTCTGATTTGATCGTATGTGTGTGAAATTCTATTTCAATTTTCGAAAAGAAAGAACATGCAGAAATAGGGAGTTCACAATAACTCATTGTAATAAACAGAAAATTCAAAATAAAACGAACATCGGTTAATTAAACGTTTTCATTAAAAAATGCAGTGCCAATTTTGACACTACGGAAACATGAGTTTATCTTTACATTAGAAATATAAGAATTTAATCTTTACCACTTTCTGTAAAAAGCAACACTTTTATAAAGCATGTTACTTTCGGAAACTTACGTAAAAAACACTTTTATAGGTCAGAAAAATGTCTAACACACACACACACAGTACCGCCAGTGACATAAATAAAAACAAAACCTTTTTTAGATATCTTAGACACGTACACAGCACAACCAGAACTAGATATAATATTATTTGAAAATGACCTAACCAAACATGGTCTATTCAAAACCCAATTAAAAGAAAAAAAAATCTTTATGACATTCAGTGCAGCTGGATCTAAAATAAACAGTTACTGTACAACATCTAAGATACGCATACAGTATATATTTTAGATCTAAATTTCTAACTATACAATGTTCAACCAGATACTAAAGAAACAACAGTTACTGTACAACATAACATACAGTAGTTAGAAATTTAGATCTAAAATGTATACAATGTTCAACTAGATACTAAAGAAACAACAGTTACTGTACAACATCACATACAGTATAGTTAAAACTTATGTACACAATTTATCTTTATAGCACAGAGGAAGGTTTGAAATGGAAGGAAAATATCTAAACCAAAAATAACAAGAAACAAACAAAGAAGTATTACAATTCCAAATTATGAATCAATGTAACTTTATCCCAATGAATGTGGAAATACATATATGATACCGCTGATTTATAATATAATGCAAAATATTTATTAATCGTCTCCTATAGAAGCACATTATATAACAACTGAATAATTTTGATCACATTAAAGATATTTAATAACTTCGTCTCCTATAGAAGCACATTATATAACAACTGAATCATTTTGATCACATTAAAGAGATTTGCTAACTTCGTCTCCTATAGAAGCACATTATATAACAACTGAATCATTTTGATCACATTAAAGAGATTTATTAACTTTGTCTTGCCTGTAAGCTATAACAGGAAGAACGTAGCTTTAAATTTCAGCTTTAAGGTATAGTGAATATAATACAATTTATCAGGCCTCTTGTCTCGCATTAAACACTATTCCTGATCCTAGGTATAAATTCCAATAAATCAGCTATGCATCCGAAATAAAACTTTAGAAAATAGAATTTGGAAATCACCAGTGTAGACCGAATTATGTTTTAAAACCTAACAGATCTCATTGGATTCGATATTCACAGATGTGTTTTCTCTACACTGGTGATTTACGTATTATGTTTTAAAACCTAACAGATCTCATTGGATTCGATATTCACAGACATGTTTTCTCTACACTGGTGATTTACGTATTATGTTCTAAAACCTAACAGATCTCATTGGATTCGATATTCACAGATATGTTTTCTCTACACTGGTGATTTGTCAATATCGAATCCAATGAGATCTGTTATGTTTTAAAACATAATTCGGAAATCACCAGTGTAGAGAAAACATATCTGTCAATATCGAATCCAGTGAGATCTGTTAGATTTTAAAACACCGTGAGTAACATAAGAAATTTCGTAAATCACCATATGATATTCTTATAGGTGTGGATCTACAAAAAACATTTCAAAATATGTAATGAAGTTTAGATCGCCGCCATATTTAAGGAGTAGGTTTCTTTTGAAAAATATAGAGCATAAGCACTACCAAAAGTTAATCACTTCCACATCAAAAGCGGAGTAAGGTATGGATCCTGCATTAAGAAAAGTAAAAAATTAACTAGACATTTTACAACAAAGATATATAATAATCTTAAAACTCAATTTGCTCTAATCTAAAATCTTCTGTTGAATATAAACCAACACGGTATTCTATCGTAAATGATTGTGAACTATATTAGAATAATTTATTTAACAATAGTAAGAATTCTTCCGATAAGTGAAAAAATCACAGGTGTCTTAAGAGCCTGAAATATTCAACATCAGATTCACATGAAAGTTTGTCCAAATATAGTGACAGATTGATTATCACTTGACAATTCCCATAATAGCGGCCTGTATAATATGTACGAACCTGTATGTTAATAAACTGTATATTTTTGGGAGGTTAATTACTTTTGATATAGCTAAGAAAAATAAGATACATATTTGTTAATAAATTCCATAATATTCACTATATATCAGTTAATTTGATTATAAATGGAAACGTATTTCATATTTCCTTATGGCTACCGTAAGTAATAATGGGGGAGTATGTGTTGCCCCATTTGAATATCTCACTATCTTTTATTTCTATATAATAAATACTCGCTCGTTATGTATTTGTTTTGGGTATCCATAGTTTGACACTTTTTAGGTTGAATGTGTCGTTGTCGTTTCTTTAGCACAAAATTACACAAGTTACTATTTGCACTCTGTCCACCGCGAAGAATCGAACGCCGGATGTTAACTTTGTAAGGGCTGAAATTTACCATGACCCACCAGAGGACAGCTGAATGTAAAGGGACTATAATTGTAATTTGTGGGTCCCTGTCCTTCAGTGAATGTTTCTCCATCCTCCGTTTCGTCTTTTGTTCTTGTAATAGGCCACATTGTATTTATAGCACATGACGTTTCCTTGTTTGATGTTGCACCGAAAGATTTCTCCCATACAGATACATTTGAGTTTGATATGTTTCACTTTTCATACCATTAGACATCTTGTGGGTGTTCAAGTCTAGATTCTACTCCAAGCACTGTTGAGGCAACGTTAGCTAAAAGTACGCTCCCTTGTGTTTCACAAACCATCTCATAGTGTTTAATAGCCCTCTATACTAACATGCGTAGAACTGCAGCATGTCGACGGTAAAAATTAGTGTGCCGTGCCATCCAGCGCTAACTATTACAGGTGTGGCGATACAGCAATACGATTCGAGTATCGTATCGTGAAGCCGTGATACGATTGTATCGATACATCGTCCGATACGATAAGATTTATGTATCTTCACGAAATCTGGCAAGCTTTCAGTAAACATTATAAGTCTTTTATACAGAAAAAAGTCAGAATTTCTAATAAAGTATTTTGCTAAAAATAAATGATTTAATAAAGGAACATGAGTATTGAGTATTACATGTTGTCTTCATTTCTTTTATCAAAAACATTACATGCAAATTAACATAACAAATTAACAATAACAAAATAGATATTAACTATTTTACTTCTCTTGCCAGCTGCCATTTAGTTGATCAAACCTGAGAATTTGTAAAATCACTGTAAAGTGTGAAGTACTTAAATATGGTAATGTTAGTAATACAGATAATAAATTATAGACAAGACTGTCAAACTTTGTAACAAACCGTTGGTAAAACTTTTGTATCTAGATACGTATTATTGACTACTAAGATGAGATACGTACCCCTACTAACTAGGCAGAGTGCAGTATACAACTTTCCGTGTGTGTTTAGCCAAGAATTTTGTGTTGGTTAGAATAGTCCATAGGTTAGTCTTCTATCAACAGTGAAAAAGATGTCAGAATAAAAGAAACTCTGGCAATTAAAAACCTCAACTCAACAGCCAAGTAACAAACAGCGCCAAATTCCTGTTTCAATCACAGAGAGAATGATGTGACTTTCTCTTTGACATAAGGGCTGAGGAAGCTCTTTCTGAAAGTGAATGCTTGTGGAAGCATCATTAATCCAGACCATTCACATTACTAAATCCCTTCTGAGTAAAGCAGCTAACTTCCCCAATGTGTGTACAGTTAGAATGTGTACTTTCCACCACTTTCACAATCTAGTATCTCTATGTCTAAAACATTCTATGTAAATATAAGTTCCGTATTCTACAAAGACCATGTTAAATAATATCATAGTATTTTCCCTATATCTGCTGTATTAAAGTTCAACTTTCACAATCTAGTATCTCTATGTCTAAAACATTCTATGTAAATATAAGTTCCGTATTCTACAAATACCATGTTAAATAATATCATAGTATTTTCCCTATATCTGCTGTATTAAAGTTCAACTTTCAAGCGTATGATTGTTTGTTTGATTGTTTTGAATTACGCGCAAAGTTACACTAGGACTATCTGCGCTAGCCGTCCCTAATTTAGTAGTATAAGACTAGAGAAAAGGCAGCTAATCATCACCACTCACCACCAACTCTTGCAATACTCTTTTACCAACGAATAGTGGGATTGACTGTAACATTATAACGCTCCCACGGCTGAAAGGGCGATCATGTTTGGTGTGACGGGGATTCGAACCCGCAGATTGCAAGTCGAGTGCCCTAACCACCTGACCATGCCGGGCCCCTCAAGCATATGAAACACGATGCTCTGACAATTGTTAAGAGAGATAGCTTGAAACTACTTCGACTCATTCTTTGCCTTTATCTATCACATATTTGATGCGAATTTCTTAGTTAATCACATGAAATCGTTGTTATTCAACATGACTAATCTACTTTTGTAGACTATTGTTCAAGGTCGCTCTGAACTAGGTAGTCGCAACCTATTTCACTTTTGTTTCTTCGTCATGAAGACTCTGGCTAAATCATCTATAAAAGAGAGATAACATGTCTAATATTACCTACAGTTATTCAAATCTCATTTGTTCAGTGTGCTTTATAAGATTCTTAATGACAGCCATTCGTTACAAAATAAGACACATCTCAATTCATTACAAAAATTATATTCGTACAAAGAAAGCAACAGGGTGTCGCCGAGTAAATCAGTATTTTTGAATACTTTTATATTTGGAACTTCTAATTCACTGCAGTTTACCGATATTACAAGCCATAATATTAAGCCATTAATATACAGTATCATCATAGAAT